TCACGCCAGCAATGGCTGTCGGCGTTTCACCAGGGCGGGACCCACCGGGACCCATCCACCCCCCCGAGAGGAACGACCGGGACCTCCTCTGAGGGGGCCACGCAGGACTTGAGCACGGAACCGGGGACAAGCGGGCCCCCGAGGGGGTCGCGGGTGGAAAAAGGCGAAGGAAGGAAAGCCGGAGTTGGGGACGGCATGAATGTGGGGGGGCGGCGCTGCCCAGGCTGGTTGGCGGGAATTGGCGGTTTTGCTGTGGGTGCCGATGTACAGCTATTATGGGAAGCGCGGTGGGGAGGGTCAAATATATATATTTTCTTTAAAAAGAAAGCTAGTTTTCCTTTCTTGTCAGAAGCTTAATTCAAATTCCTCCGCTGAAGCTTTCCTGTAATGGGAAAAGAGATAGTGGTAGGGAAATAGCACCCCGTTGAAAGACAAGGCGAAAAGCCGTTGCAGGGGGTGATTTAAAGTGGAAGGGAGGGGGCCGCGAGGAGACGTGAGGTGTGATGTCTGGCGGGCAAAAGAGCAGTTGTGGGGAGCCGGTGAAGAGTTGAGGCTGGCTGTTGAAGCAGGCGGTAGAGGAGGAGGCGTAATAGGGGTGTCGTGTGGGTTGGGCAGAGGGGGTCTAATGAGAGAAAAGCTTGGAAGAAAATGAGGGAAGTCGAAGGGAGACGCAGGAGTGCTCTCATGTGGGCAGGGAGAGTGATTTGGTGAGGTCAGAATAGAGATAGCATTGTGGAGGAGTGAAAAAATGGGTGGTTTACAGCAAGGAAGGGTGCTCTGCTCATGTTGCTGTGATGAGCATCTGGACGCTTTGACATGAAGAAAAATGCTGGGCATTTACTAACTAACTTTGGGACATTTACTCGCAGTTGACATCACAGTTCCTAATGTCACAAAATGCTCTTCAAGTTGGACTAAGTTTTTTTTAAAAGCATTTTCCTCCTGTCAAACACACCAGTTCATCTTCCCCCTGCAAAGCTTCTGTCCATACCATTAGCAAGTTTGAAATAAATATACACTTTCTGAGGATAAGTACTGAACTCAGGAAACGGATTTCAATAAACTAGGACAGGGGTGGTCTGTGGGACAGTTTTCTTCAGTGCTGGACCATTCGCTAGCCGTCTTCAGACAGTGGAATTCACTTTATACAAGATATTAAATTTGGCACCCGCTAATAAAAGATGCATGCTGACATATGTAAGTATCCAGAGAGAAAGGAAAAGTGCACTTGTTGTTTCTCTTCTAGGAAATATTGTAATAATCTACTTGGAAATTTACCAAATGCTTTTGTCTACCTAATCCGATGTGTGTATAGCTGCTTATTGTCACCTGTACATTTCGGTGCTGCTGTGTTAAGCAAACATACAAAAAGATGTGTTTTTAATTCTGTGACTCATGATTGCTCTGAAACATGCCTGGAATCTGTGCCTGAGTTTGAAAATGCTGATGTAAACACAAAAGTGTATTTTCAAGAAACTGCACTTACATATGAGAACTTATGGGTGGTAAGCAGCTCTGATATTCCATTGGGTGCAGGATGGAATCTGACAGTGGTGTTGAGGGAATTTTTTGTGATCTTGTCACTAGACATTCTAAACAAAGATAGAATTAAGTCTAGATGTCACCCTGGCAATAGCTTTTGTTTCCAGATAGGGGGTTGGACTTGATGGCCTTATAGGCCCCTTCCAATACCATTATTTTATGGTTCTCTGGTCAAATTGGGTGTATAAAGTGAGGGAGCATAAGTTGCAGATGCTGATACTATCTTGGGTTCCAGCCCAGGAAGAAAGGGAACATATACATTAAATAAATAAACCATGGCTTTTAGGACACTACTAGACAGACTCAGCTGATGTTACTGCCACTCAAAAGACATCTTTCAGCTATTCCATCTTTCCCTCCTTTCTATGGCAAGACAATAGGAGAAGCTGATGGAAAACATGGCAAGGTTATTAATAGGTCATCTAAGCCCCACACCTTGTAATATTCCATTAATGAAGCAACATGATTACACAATAAAAATATATCTGGAAGCATCTTGAGTCTGCAAATGATGTTCTGTGTTCTGACTGACTCCTATAATGACTACATTAGAAAAAAACTGGCGGGAGGGTTGGGACAGGATGGTATGTAGCACAGAACACATTACCCCTAGAATCAGCAGTTGTCCATCAGACAATGTACTGCATGAACTTGCCTGAAACACTCTTCAAAGCACCTGACTACAGTAACTATAAGACTAGTGCATTGCTCAGAAAGAAAGCTAATGATATTTTAGAATTTCAACTGTCTCAATTTATTTTAGTTTGCTGCCCTTTTAATTATGACAAACACCTTTCATACACAATAGCAGCATATGGTTTATCTGATCAGCATGACATGGTTTTTGAAAGGAGCAAATTAACTACAGTTTCATATATGGTAGAGTCAAAATCACAGCTGTCATCTCAGAATGTAACAATAGCAGTCAATTTACCAAATACTGCTTCAGATTAAATATGAAGGTGTTTTAATATTTTGGGAGAACTGATTGCAGTGAATCTAGGAAGTTTCTATTCAAGGCAGAAACAGCTTCTAACACTCCAAATTCTAAAGTTTTTGTAGTCTAAGTTTAGAATACATGCCTGACTTGTTTCAGAGGATTTCATCTCAAGTATTTGATAGTTCTGCTCGTTATCTTTTGAAAGGGGAGTTGAAGAGGACTTTTAAGTTCATAACATGATTGCTTTCCTTCCCTTTGGCACCTGGTAAGGGAGCCCGTATTAAGTGACTGTGTTCTCAGTCATGGGAAGTTGACAATGCTGGTATAGCACAACACAACATAGGTAGAAAATTAGAAGTGTGGCAGTGGCCAAGAGAATAAGATGCTGAAGTATTGGAAAGGTACTGAACTCCAGAATACAGTATATTATACAGCAGTATCATACAAGGATGATGATTGAGATAGCTGCCCTCTTATGTGTGCAATGATTGGGTAGGATCATTTATATAGCATTTATATTAGCAAGTTTTAAAAAGCTGCAATCCTACTTCCTCTGGCAGGCTGAACCATGAAGTAGAGTCTCTGATAGTAGAGCACAGAGGTTCTCAAGTTTTGGGAGTCTTGGATCTGCCAAACACGATTATTCAATATCCCACCAGCATAAACAAACAAGGCACTTTCTCTGAGATGGGTATTTAAGTTCACATGCACTGTGGTTGTCATTTACAGTAAGTTGGAATGCAGGGCAAATGGGGAATGGGAAAGCCTGTGTCCAAAATTACTACTAGTAAGACAGGTAAGTAGGAGATGGCATGCTATACTGGTAGGTGCACATGGATGTTAAAGAGCCTCGTGATGCTGTGGTTAAACAGCTGTACTGCAGCTAAAACTTATCACCAGGGTTCAATCCCAGGTAGCGGGCTCAAGGTTGGCTCAGGCTTCTATCCTTCCGAGGTCGGTAAAATGAGTACACAGCTCGTGGGGGGGGGCAATAATTAACTTGTAAATCGCCCAGAGAGTGCTTGAAGCACTATGGGGCAGTGTTTATTTATTTATTTGTTACATTTATAGCCCGCCCATCTAGTCGTACCGACTACTCTGAGCAGGTAACAACAATATATAACAGTATATATAACCCTAACAGTATATAAGCAGCACACTTTTTAAAAAGGAGATGAGAACCCTTTGGGCCATCTAGATGACTCCTGTTCCATAAGAGTACAGGTGCGAAGCTGAATTGCCCCTTTCTTGAATAACGTCCATAATATAGGCTTTGGCTCTCCTTCCCATTGACTGAAGCTGTTTCTCACATCTCAGGCCTACCAAAAGGTATGGGGATGACAACATGCCTTGGAGAAACCTGCACTGCTGTCTGGATTCAGAGGTTTATGAGAGTGTTTAGGCTTTCCTCTTGCAGCTACTGTATTAAGACACATCTTGCAATTCATCTGTTAGTGTTTCAAGGCAGATATACAGTATTAAGAAAGAAAGAGATGCATTTATACTCTATACAGTATGAATACAGTACTAATGGCTTAGTGCTATAGAAATGAACTCGCTTCATCCACCCATGGACTTGCACACTTGTCTGTCTCACCGCTTTGAGGACTAGACAGGAAACTTCTGTTTTCATTTTGAATTAACCATAGGTTAGATTGCCCAAGCTCTAAAATGTGAATGCTAAGTAGATGGAGCCACGAAAATATACAGTGAACTTTAGGAGGAAAGAGAATTGATAGAGAACATGAGT